TCGGTCAGCAGGTAGGTGAGCCAGCGTAACTCCTGTGCAGCCATGGCTGTGGCGTAGATCTCAGCCTCACAACTGGAGCTGAGAACAGAAGACGAGCGGGTAGCCGGCCAAGAAACAGAGCCAGAGCCAAGGCTGAAGGTGTAACCCTGTGACGACTGCTGCGTAGCCAAGTCGTCAGCCCAAGAAGCGTCTGCGTGACCAGTGAGGACAACTCGAGCCCGTCCTCCAAGCACGAGCCCCATGCCCGACGTACTGCACACGTAGCGCAACACCCTCTTTAGCGGCATCCATGTGCTCCTTCCTGTGACGGCCAGGAGCGACATAGCGTGCTAGGATGCTAAGAGGGTAGGCAAGGTCAGGTCGAGTGCAGGTCATCAGGTACATGAGGCAGCCCACAAGCTCTGGATACGGGCCACTCGGCTCTACGGACTCGTCCGAAGGTGGAGCTGAGAGCGAGTAACCGGTAGGCAGAGGAGTGGACTGTGGCGAGGAGTACGTGAAGCGGAAGCGCTGAAGGACCTGCTGCACCATGTGTGACTGAGTCAGGGTAATGGTGCGCTGTGCTCTGTCTCGGGTGATCCGCAAGCCAAGATAGCTTGTCAGCTCACCCAGGTCTGTGCACGTGTGTCTGTTCTGCAGCTCCGACTTCACGTGGGCGAGTGCCTCAGTGTCAGAAGTAGCAAAGACCAAGTCGTCTACGTACACGAGAACATAGAACGGCGGCAGAGTGGTGTCGGTGCGTAGAAACAGCGACGGGTCAGCAGTAGAAGGAGCAAACCCAAGAGCAGCAAGAGTAGTCCTCAGTGTGTCGTGCCACTCACAGGGTGCCTGGCGGAGACCGTAGACCGGCCGCCGGAGGCTCCACTGGGTACCAGCAGGAAACGACCCAGTGAATCCAGGTGGGCGGCGCAGCCAGATCTCCTCGTGCAGGCTGCCCTGTAGGAAAGCAGTGCTGAAGTCAAGAGAGTGAAGCTCGTAGTCACGCTGAGCGGCGACGTGCAGCAGAACCCGAAGAGTGGTCATCTTCGGGGTAGGGGAGAAGGTCTGGAAGAAGTCAACTCCCTCTCGCTGACTGAAGCCTCGTGCAACGTAACGCGCCTCTAATACCATGTCAGAATAGTGAAGGAAGGAATGATTGATTGAGCAAGCAGTTGGCTACAAGTAGGAAACCTAGAAGTGTTGTACCCTATATGAACTACCCCACTACAGCCTACACAGACTATAGCATATAACTTTGACAGTATCGTGCCACTCGCGGGGAGCCTGGCGCAGGCCGTAGACCGGTCGACGCAGCTGCCACTGGGTCCCAGGAGGGAAGGTGTCAGTGAAACCAGACGGGCGACGCAGCCAGATCTGCTCGTGCAGGCTCCCCTGAAGGAACGCGGTGGAGAAGTCCAATGAGTGCAACTCGTAGTCGCGCTGTGCTGCAATGTGCAGCAACACCTGAAGAGTGGTCATCTTCGGGGCGGGAGCGAAGGTCCGAAAGAAGTCTACCCCCTCTCGCCGACTGAAGCCTCTCGCCACTAAGCGCGCCTTGAACACCGGTTGCGATCCAGGCAGCCGCTTCACCTTGTAGAGCCACATGCCACTGTCGACGTTCGCCCCTGGTAATGGGACGGCGTCGAATTAGGTGCCTGTGGACCTATAAAATGCCATCTCTGCCTCCTCAGCTGCTATCCAGTACGAAGCCCAGGGTCCCGAGACCGCCTCGGCGTGAGTGCGAGGGATAGGGATATCAAGGGCATCTGGATCCCCCTCAGGGGCAAGCACCATGGCGCAGAGATGAGGAACAGCGGCCGCCAGGAAACCAAGCTCGAACTGCCTATCCTCGAGGACCTCCAGGGGAAAGACACGAGCACCCCTAGAGGACGGAGAACAAGCAGGACCACTCACCAGGTGAGCAACGTAGTTAAGGCAGTGGGAAGAGGCAAAGCTAGCGAAAGTGGTAACAAGAGCCGAGACAGACAACGGGGGGGCACTCGGGTGAGTGACCAACGCGGACAAAACACGGGAGACGATAGGACGGGAGGCACGGAGGAAGTCGGACAACGGGTCGTGAAACACAGTGAGGGACGAGCCTGGAGGCTGTGGAAGGACAGGAGGAGGTGGGACGCGAGAGCGGAGAACAAGGTGAAACGGGCCGTTAGCACGGTAACGGGACCGACGGGGCGCGCGATGGTCAGAGAGAAGTGGCACAGGGACGACAAGTGTGTCGGCAGGTCGTCCCGCGCATTTTTCCCCTGTTTCCCCCGTTCCGCTGAGCTAACCCTGTCCTCGTGGGAACTGATGCGCAGGGATTGCGTCGACCGGCACCGCGGAACTCTCGGCGACACGTACACCACCGACCAGTTCCGCCACGGCATGATCAAGGTGTTGCCGACTTGGGCTGCGCGGGCCTACGAACCCAAGTCGGTCGCCCCCTCCCAAACGCTGTGGAAGTTCCTGCTGATGAAGACGATGATTCTCCTGGCTCACCACCCCCTTCTCCGCGGAGCCGGCGTCCGAGCGATCGAGCTCCCCGACTTGTTCTTGTACAGGATGGGGAGCACGTCGCCCGAGCACACGCGTCGACCGGGTGTCATGGTCGTCGCTTAACGAAACTCCAAGACGAACAAGGATGCTCGTCTGCATCACAGCTACGCGGCGAGACACCTGGAGCAGGAGATGTGCGCCGTCGGTCGCACGCTGTTGTGGCTGCACTTCGTTTACGACCAGCTGAGCCGCTCGCCCACCTCTCGCCAAGTGCCGCCCCTCGACTTCAGTACTCCGTACATGTGGTACCACAAGCACCTCTTTCATGCTTGGAACGACTAGACACAAAAACAGCTTCTGGCATCGTCGCACCTGCGGATCACGCGGGAGATGTGGCGGACAAACAAGATCTTTATCGCGCGCAACACCCATGTCGTCCGGGCAGGTGGGGCACAGGAGATGGCCGACGATGGAATTCCGCGATCAGACATCGCCGACTTGGGGTACTGGGCGCTCGACAAGCTTGCGAAAAGCTACATCACGACGATACGGCGACTACCACCTCGGCCGCACATTGGTAAAGCCCGACGACAAGGTGGAGGCCCTCATCGCCAAGCATATATTTCCGTGGGCGGAAGCGGAACTGGTCAAGGTGAGCAATTCATACGGCAGAAACGCTGACTATCCGCCCCCATAACCACGCCGACATGCCACCGACGGTTCATTTTGTGTGTGTGTGTGTTCGTCTCGCAGGCGGAGAAGTGCGCCACGGAGAAAGAACCTAACACGACCGGAGTGCACTTCTTGAAATCGCTCATCGAATTCGGCCGCCGCATCGTCGCCGATGATCTTGCGTGCATGCTGATGTGCGAACCGTGGCACCCGTACGTCCAGGGTTCCAAGCTTTGCCGCGACCCCGACTTCCAAAAATGGGCCAAGGACGTCAACCGGGTGGACCTCGAAACCATCGCCACGCGCCAAACTCCCACCGACAACCCCCAAGAGGTACGGCATGCGCGTTCCGGCGACAAGTAATACTAGTCGTCCTGCCTTATTTGCTTACCGTTTGTCACATGGCCCCCTTGTTTCGCAGGAATTCAGCACGAGAATCGACGCCCAACACCAGGTCGACCAGCTGACTATGATGCTGCACCGCCAGAGGGAGGATACCGCGATCGAGAAGCTTGTGATGCAGAAGCTGAAAGAGGAAAAGGATGCGGAGATCGGGGGTTGATGCAGGCCCTCAAGCTGGCCGAGGCACGGCCGACGCCGACTGCGCCGGCACCGCCGACCACAAGGCCGATGACCGACGCCGAGAAGGCAGCGGCTGTCAAGATCGAGAAGCAGGATGACGACGACCTGGTGTACGAGGTGAACGTCGTGCATCCATGGCGCACGTCCAAGACGGTCGAGGCTGCCTTGCGCTGGTGGAACACCCCCTCGCACTTCGACGAGCAGCCTTTGCGCGAACGTTACGTGGAGCCCAGATTCCTCGTCCGACACACGCGCATGATCTGCAAGGTCGAGAAGCCCGACAAACCCGCAGCGCCGGCGAAGTCGGCGAAGAGTTTTCGTGGCCAAAAACCGGCGACTGACGACGGTCCCACGACCGAGGTGGAAGAGACGGGGAAAAACGATTCGCTGCAAAACTGCACGCGGCGGATGAAGCGGATCATGGAAACCGTGCACCTCTTGCGGCGGACCGAAAACGACGCTGACACTGCCGCCGTGGTCAAGCTACTCGACCACCTGGGGCGGGCGGGTCTTTCTACTTTCAGCGACGCTCTCTTGGTCCTCCGTGCAACCACGCCCATCAAGGTCCCCACCTCAGCCGACGGAAAGCCGACCGGCATCAAGGGTCTGGACAAGACGCAGTACAGGAAGCTGGCTGTTGCGTGTGGTGTGGTCTCGGCGGGCTACATGGAACCTGAGTGGGGAAAGAAGCTATTCGCGACTTGGAAGAAGCAGGCCAAGAAGGCCGGCTTGGAGGCCGAGGCGACGGCGGGAGCGAGGGCGGAGGGCTCCGGCGCTTGGAAACGCAAGAGGGCGGGCTGAGGGTAGTGCGTCCGTGTCCGACTTATGGGGCGGGCTGAGGGTAGAGCGACCATGTTTGGCTTGTGATTGTGAAACGTGATGAAACGTGATGTCGTTTGACTTTTCCCAATGATTCGCCGACTAGTCTCATGATGTGATGGCAACTGGATTGTCTCTTGTCCATGCATCAAACCGACTTCACAACAAGGTTTTCAAAACAAAACCGACTTCACAAAAATGTTTCCAAAACAAAGCCGACGAGCATGTTCAGAATCGCTAAACAGGGGAGGCAAAACAGAAAAAAACAACAACACGCAAAAGCGTCCTAAAGAGATTCAGAGCGGCTGCTAGGTTTTCATCGGAAAGCCTGCAGCGTTTGCACCCACGCCGACCATGACAAGAGCAGTCGGGACAGCGTTCTCCAGCCTAATGGTCGGCCGCCTGCTTCCGTTTGTGCTGCTGCCCCCCCGCCCCTCTATCCCGGACGATTATCTTCATCCCGGCGTCAATAGGCAAAACGACGCCGCGAGCTTTGAGTTTAGGGCCGCCGACAACGCAGTCCCCCAGAAGGCGAGGTTCTCAATCATGACATGGGCGATCACCTCGTCGTGGTCCTTCTCGTCCCAGTCCTCAGGCAGCGAGCGCAGCACATCCTCTTGCAGGACCTTCGTCACCGTGTCGGCGACCTCCGCTGCGGAGGGCGTCCGGGACGACGCACGTTGAAGCACCACCTCGATGACGCTCTTACAACGATGCGTGAACTCCTCGGACGCTCCGCGCAAAGTGGCATTGGTCTCCGAAAAGCACCACACCGCGCACGATGTCCCGGTGAGGATCTCGGGTAACCGCTCCAACTCGACGTCCGGGACGGGCGTGACTTTCGCGGCACCAGGTGCGAATGCGGCACACAACGCAGCGCGTGTGATCATGTCGGCCGCCATCTTGGTCTTCGCGAGCTTCTCGGGCTTGGTCGACTCCAGAAGTTCGCGGAGCCACAGCGCCGGACAAAGAGCCACCGAGAGAGCGGCCTTGCCGTTGCTCAACCTGTTGTACTCCTTGACCAACTCTTGTAACCTGCGAAAGAAAGCAACACGACACACCGTCACCGACCGACCCCCGCATACCGACTGAAACAAACGAGCATTCGCCAAGCGTACTTGTCGCGGAAAGCGTTGGCGCCACGGCTCCACATGACCGTCCACAAGCCGGCCGGCATCAATCGCGCCACATCCCAGTCCGACCTATACTCCTTCATCACATCGTCCTCGACACCAGCGAACTCGTCGAGAATCACGTCCCTCACGTAGCCATCGAAAGCGGACACGGCGACCGCGCTGCAGTATGCGGCCTCCGTCTTGTCAAAAGAGCGGCAAATGTAACGGCTCTTTCTGCCAAACTTCATCTCCGCCACAACCAGCCCCGTATCCTTGTCAACGCGGACGCCTGAACCCTTCCGACCCTGCGGGGCCGCGTTGGCCGTCCCCTTGGAAGAGCCGGCCTTCGCCTTGCCCTTGCGCTTTTGCTTCCCGTCGCCGACCTCACCGGTTCCGGCCGGGGGGGATTTGGCGCCAGTCGCGGAGGTGAAGGCAGGTGCAGACGAGGCGGCTGGTGCACGCTGTTGCGCTTCCACGGTGGGAGCCGCTGCCGCTGCGAGTTTCTCCCGCATGACCTCGATTTCAGGGTCCGGCATCACGATCCCGGCGAGGATTTCGGGGTCCACCCCATCGTCCAAGTCCGACGTTCCCCACAAAGCCGTCCCCTCCGTTGCAACGCCCGGCCCAGCAGTCGCCGCCGCTACGTGCCCTGCCTCTGCTCCTTGGTCGACCGCCTGGTTGCTAGGCGCCGGAGGATCTTCGGCGGGTTTTCCTGCCGCGAGCCATTTCAGGTACTCCTCAAACGTTGGGTCGTGAGCGACTAGATTCGCGACTAGATTCGCCTGTGGCGCTGGAGGCATAGGGATCGGTCCCACGCCAACCATACCGGCCCCAGGAACGACGGAGCTGGCCGCAGCGGCAGTGACCGTTGTAGGCGGAGGCGGGTTCGGCAGTGACAAAGTCGTTTCGGCTACGCCGGGGGTCTCGTGGGCATTACCCGCTTTAGGCGGAGCTGGTGCCATCGCCGACACAGTCACCGATCTGGCAGTCTTGACGACGCCGCTGGGTAGCACACAGTCCCTGCACGCCACCCGGTCGCGCGTTACTGGCACTCGCCGGACTCGTCGCGGTGTGGGGATGCTGGCCCGCCCGGGGCTGCACGCCCTGCTGGCCGACCACCGCTGCTGTGCGCAAGAGCTCGTCGGCCAGGAGTGCCGTGACGCCTCTGGGTCGCACGTCATGTGCAGTCGCCGGACTCGTCGAGGGGTGAAGACGCAGGCCCGCAACGGGCTGCCCGCCCTGCTGGCCGACCACCGCTGCGGGGCGCAGGAGCTCGACGGCCAGCTGCGCCGTGGCGCCGCTCGGTCGCGCGTCTTGTGCACTCCCCGGACTGGCCTCGGGCTAGGGATGCTTGTCCCCCACTGGCTGCCCGCCCTGCTTCCCGACCACGGATGCCCCTCCCAGGAGCTCGTCGGCCACCTGCGCCGTGGCGCCGCTCGGTCGCGCGCCTTGTGCAGTCGCCGGACTGGCCTCGGGCTGGGGATGCTGGTCCCCCACTGGCTGCCCACCCTGCTTCCCTACCACGGATGCCCCTCCTAGGAGCTCGTCGGCCAGCTGCTCCGTGACGCCGCTCGGTCGCGCGTCGTGTGCGCTCGCCGGATTGGTCGCGGGCTGGGGCTGCTGGCCCGCCACGGGCTGCCCACCGTGCTTTCCGACCACCAAAGCTGGACCCTGGGGCACGTTGGCAACCTGTCGACCAGCGTCGCTCGGTAGCACTTCGGGCCCTCCCACTTTCAGCAAGTCGTCGACGCCGGGAATACGAACATACATAGCGGCCGGGGTTTCCACGCCCACACCGCGTTTGGCCGTGGGTCCTCTGATTCGCTTACCGCCGCCGGCCTGCTCGTCGGACAGGGTCTTGTCGTCGGCAACCCTTTTCCCGCTGTGCCTTGGCGGCGGCCCTCGCTCCTCGGCAGTTGAGCGACCTCCGTGCATTACCGACGCGAGAGCATTCGCCAGGTGGCTCAACCCGGCGGCACCAAAGCCCTGTTGGGTCGCGGGGGTGACCGCCTTCACCACGTCGTCCCGAAGCTCTTGGACGACTTGCGCACTCATTCCGTCGGTAGACGTGGAGGCCGGGGGGTGCTGGAGGCTGCGTACAACGGCGGCGGCGATCCTCGGCGCCGCGCTCTCCATGACGGCCTTCACCTCAGCAGACACGACGGTTTTTAACTTCTCGCCCAGGAGATCTGCCACACCTCGCAATAGCATCTCGTCGTCTTCCCGTCGCCTACCCTTCAGACCAGTAGCCGCCACGTTCAACGCATCTACGGTGGGCAGCCACCTCTCGTTCATGTGAGCTATGATGGCGTCGCGACCATCCATCGCATTCTGCACGACCTGCTTCACAGATTTCACGGCCCCTGTGACGCTCGCCCCCGCCGTCATCTCGAGAGTGGACACGCGCTCGGCGACCGACGAGAGCTTGTCGACGGCCATGTTAACCACCGAGAATAGCGTCTCCGTCCGGGCCATCTGGTCGTCCAGCCTCTTCTCCGCCACCAGCTTCTCCTCCCTCAGCTTCTTGTTCTCCCTCTTCGCCGCCTTCAACCGCTCCAAGGCCGCCTTTGACGCCATCCTAGTCGTGGTCGAGCCACCGCTCGCCCGCGGCTTCTTGCCCGTCTTTGGTCTGATGCCTCCGCTCTTCTCACCGGCGTACTGTATACCAGCCTCCACTTCGCCGGTGACCATCACGTCATCATCCTCCTGCTCGCCCTCCTCCTACTCCTCCTCCTCCGAGCCACCATCGTGCTCCCTGCCCTCCTCCTCGTGTTCCTCCTTGCCGCCATCTGTGGGTCCGTGCTCGCCCGTGTACGACCCCGCGAGAGCCTCCTCGGCCTCCTCACCCAGAGAGACGCCGGTTCCCACGCCACGCTCGACGCCGCCCGTTTGCTCAGCGCGGCCCTCTCCAGGTAGTTCACCAGCCCCTGTCGGAGCGCCTTCATGCTGACCTTCGTCTGGTTCTCGACGCTCAGCGGATCGTAGTTGCGATGCAGGTCGTCCAAATGGCCCAACGACCACGAGAACGCGCTGACCGCCAGCAGCCCTATCCCGGCGGCCTCCTCCCTGAGGATGTCGGGCAATTTCTGCATCAACGACGAGGCACATGGCGGTCCAGAAATGGTGAGTCGACGGCTCGACGACGATAGCCCAGCGACAAGGCGACGTCAAAGTCGGAAACTCACATCACGGATGGGGGCGGCAAGACTCGTCAGACGTGCGGAGAGGACTCCGGCTGAAGAAGCTTTCGCCTTCCACTGCCTCCCCTCACGCTTCAACTCTGCCTTTGCGGCTTCGCCGAAAAAACTGCGCACGAGCGAACGGACAATACACATCAGACACGGCGGCAGACTCGCCGTTGGAGAGGAACGCGACTAGTCGGCGACGTAGTCCCACCTCAAAACCTTGGCCGCCTCCGCCTCATGCAGCTTGTAGGAGGTCTTGGGGGCGAGGTGGCGGTAGAAGGTCCCGATCTCCTCCTCGTCGGGCAAAAGTAGGTCGCCAGGGCGCACAACGAGCAGGACGCTGCAGTGCGTGCCCAGAAGAGGTCCATTCCTGCACACACAAGAGGCAGGACGAGGACGATTAGGGTTCTGTCCGGGAACAATGAGCAACGTGGTCGGCGACGATCAATCCTCACGGGCGCGGAATAGTCACAGTGTGCACAGGGGAATGGCCATTATTTGTAGTCGAAGGCCGTGCCGAAAATCAGATGGCCCGGCTTCGACGACGTCCTGGCGAGGCGAAGCCAAGCACCGCACATCAGCGCCACCTTCTCGGCTTTTCCGAGGCGATCGAACTCGTACCGGGGACAAGCAGGGGCAAAAAGGCGCCGGGGTATACAGCCGACCGCGAAACAAGCCGACACAGATGCTTGGTTCGCACTACGGCGACGTCGCCGGCCGCAAGACAGACGTCGCCGACGTAGGGTCCATCTATGACGACCAGCCACGAGTTAATAAGACGACCAAGCGCTACGTCGACCATCATGGACGGACATCGTCGACCACGCTGGGAGCCGACGAGGTCTACGCCGACCTAGAAACGACGCCGACGGAAACGCGCGACACCGCTCTAGAACTAACAAGAAATCCCACGCGGTGAACTAGGGATGCGCGCTCACCCGAGGCCGAAGTCGAAGCAGCGTTCTGTTAACTCCGCCCTCTCACCGCGAAGGAGGTCGTACTCCTTCACGTCAAACGTCAGTTTGTACCCCGCGTGGCCCGGAGGCACCTCGAGGGGGAAGTCGGCCGCAGTCAGTTCTTTCCTACCGGTCGACATGCTAACACCACGGTCTCAAAACGCTACGCTACCACAATGGGGTCGAGAGAACCTAGGACGGAAGGGGAGGAGCGCGGAGAGCTGACAGGGAGGCAAGAAAGATTGGAAACCAAAGTTGGAACGGAGAAATGACAGATGGAGTCGGACCCCCCATCAACAAATGGCGGTGGGCCGCCGGTCGCCCACGGGGACGAGGCAGGCCGTGGCCGAGCGCGAGCCTCCGGCTTCGGCCCGAACCGGGCCTGCCCTCGAGGAGGGGGTTCGGTGGGGGGGGGGGGGGGGGGGGGGGAGAGTGAGGCACGTGTCCCCTCCCGAGGGGCCAGCGATGTTGACGAGGGTGGGGTTGGGCCCTGTCAATTTCGCATCCAACCCGCCTGCTCGGCGAGGGCAACCCGAGAGGGTTAGTTGGGCCTCGCGGGCAACACGAAGCGAATGTCCACCTCCGTGAAGGGGTTACTAGGCCCCTCGTCGCTCGCCCGCCAGTTCGCCACCCCGAGGGTGTAACGTGGGGTTCTGTAGCAATTCGGGGTGGGGGGCCGGGGCGGGGGTCGTGGGGGGAGTCCCGCCCGCGCCAGCCTGGCGGGGGGTTCACGCGAGGGAGTTCGCCGCCCTGATGCTCGGTCGACCGTCACCCCCTTGCGTCGCCCCAGGCAAAACGGGAGCGTCACCCCCAATTCCGTTGATCGATTCAGCCCCCTTAGTGCCATCTTCGTTTGCTCTCCACTTAGCAATGCACAAAACTTCGACTATCAACGTACTACATGCTGTCCTTGAAATTGCCGAGGTGCGACCTGTGAGACGCGATGATTGCGCACTGCTGACGTCTATCAGGCTGCATCTGATTGTCTGGTACAGTACAACCAGGGCAAAGACACGGTTGCACACTCTATGCGAAGGCAAGTCCAGTACAGCACAGTCCAGACACATGTATTTGTTGCCCTAGAGTCTAGAAGACTATAGTTCCTCCTGCATTGCGTGGAAGGGTCCCGTTATCTACTTCGGCTGGCACCGCAAGATCAGTTATGGCAACCAACGCGAACGCGCCGCACTTTTGCACAATGCTGCCGCGCAACTCCAGTGGCTCAAATAGGCAGACCATCCGCAGCAGTTCCATCATCTGCTCTCCGTATTTTCCTCCATATTTCGAATCTACTTTCGCTCGACAGTACATTCCGCAACGCATTCTCAAGCGCAGCGCTAATCGTTTAGTTCAATCTGCTGCAAGTCGTCGACTGCTGCCACACATCTGCGTGCGAAGCGAATTCTGCATGCGACGCTGCTGTTTCAACGGCAATTGCCGCTGCGACGTGACCCGTTTCGGTGAGCAGTCTGACGCGCAATGCAATGACGCCTGCTGGAAACAGCTCCGTTTGAGCCGGCGACTTGCAAATGCCGCACGTACCGGAGACCGTGGCGGCGTGGCAGTACTTGAAGCACGGCGGCGGGGCTGATGCTCTCTCGGTGCGTTCCGTCCCTCCGCCGCCCGAATCATCCCACAGGCCCTTTCGTTTCTAGCAGAAGTTGCTTTTCTGCACCGAGACGTGAGCTTCCGCATGCTTACTACGTCAGACATCCTTCGTAAGCCAATGATGGGCATTCCATTCTGCTGCCATCGTCGCACCGCGACGGAATTGTGGTCGATCGACATACCCTCATTAAGATCTGAAGCGCGACGCTCCTTCACTTTAAAGACTGAATTCCGGCTTCTGCGGGCTGTAACGTTGTGACCTCTGAGTCGACTCAAAAGTCACACGAAGGCTTCAAGCTCTATCATCATCATCATCTGCGTGCTCATCCCGCACGCCCCGCCGCACTTCACCAATCACCTCACACGCCCCGCTGTGAGAGGGCGAGGTGGTGGTTCGAGTGTGCATGACGAGAGCCGCTTTACTTCAAAGAGGGGCTTCACCCCGCTTACCTAGATTCTCCTTGTCCCCCACCCCGTCGAGCTTCCCCCACCCCGTCGAGCTTCCCCCACCCCGTCGAGCTTCCCCCACCCCGTCGAGCTTCCCCCACCCCGTCGAGCTTCCCCCAACCCATCGAGCTTCACCAGCTGAATGACGGCGTTCGGGCGAGGTGCTGCTTCGAGCGCATGAGGAGAGGAGAGTGTATTTTCTTATGTTTATGCATCCCGAATCCCCTGCATTTCACTAGTTGAACGACAGTGTCCCCGTGCCTAGTCGGTGCAAGGGCGAGGTGCTGGTTTGCGTGCGCGCAGCGAGCAACTTCAACCACAATGGTTTCTCTCCACCCCTCTCTCCTTCTCACTTCACGGCAGTTGAATGAAAACGTCCTCGTGCCCACGCCGTGCAAGGGCGAGGTGCTGGTTCGCGTGCGCACAGCAAGCGAGGATTCAATATTTGCATGATTTCCCCCATCCATCATGCCCTGCTTTTTACTCAGTTGAACGACAGTGTCTCAGTGCCCAAGCCGTGCAAGGGCGAGGTGCTGGTTTGCGTGCGCGTGTGGAGAGAATTCAATATTCACATCATTATGACTATCCCTAACTCCTTCTTTCCTCGCGGCAGTTGAATGAACGCGTTTCCGTGCCTGTGCCGAGCAAGGGCGAGGTGCTGGTTCGAGTGCGCGCGGCGAGCATCAACCCGGGCGACTGGAAGGTGCAATCGGGACTCATCCCCATCCTGCCGCACCGCTTCCCCGCCACTGCTGATGAGAAAGCGTGCACGCAACTGCAGAAGATTAAAGTATCTAAGAAGGACTTTCATAATTGCCGATTAATTGAAATGTGCATTTTAGTCGCATCCGCTTCATGCCGCTGCGACTCCCCGCCACTGTTGGTGAGAGCAGTGCATGCACAGCCTTGACGACCGGCATGCATTTTTTTTCGAGCCGCCTTGACATTCACCCTTCTCATTGCACACACGAATTAAGATTTCTTGCTTGCTTTTCCAAAATTTCCTTTGTTCATGCAGGGTACGACCTCGCTGGCAGCGTGGTGGCAGTGGGGCCTGTCGTTACCAAGTACTCTGTGGGAGAGGCCGTTTTTAGAAGGGCACCCTTCTTCGTACGTTCCGTAACCACAACAATATTCATCCCCTAGACCGGGGAGAGCGAGATCTGATTTTCCGTCATCGTCGAGCCCATGACGGCGGACCGTCACGGTCGCCTTGTCGCTGCGGCAGCGCTTCGCGTCGTTGGCGCAAATCACCTTGTAGCACGCGCTGCAGCGCTTGCCGAAGATAGCTGCAGGAAGCTTCACGGTGAGTCCCTTGCCGAAGTAGGGCTTGGCGCTGTAGTTGCCGTAATAGGCGCATGTGGAGTTCTTTCCTAGCCCCGAGCTCTTGCTCTGCCTCGCCGTCGCCGCCACGGGGCTGCTGCTAGCATCTCGAGGCTTGATCGCGTTTGCAGACCCAATCGCGCCAGCAGCAGCCGCTTTAGCAAAAGCAGGCGCAGTCGCGTTGGCGGGACTCCCGGCGGCGGAGACGCGCGGCGCAAGGGCGGAAAGGAGCACCGCAAAGGCGATGACCACGACGAGGAAAGTGGCCTTAGCAAATGTGTGGCTGAAGGGAGTCATTTTGTTTCTGTGTGTATCACGAGGCTGGAAACTGTTGAGCTAGTGCTAAGGAGTTTCGAAAATCAGATGTGGATGATACTTCGAATTGATGATGAGATGAGCAGCAGTGGTAGCTTATAAACTCCACTTATGGTTGTCAAACATTGTATGTGCTATATTTGTGTAGGCTATTGTGGGTTAGCCTCTAGGGGGTACAGAACTTTAGGTTTGTCATACTTGTACTCTCATTCCCTTGCTAGTCAACCATTCTCGTTCACTCTAGGATTCTAACATGGTATCGCGAGCCTAGGTCGTAACCTAGGACCGATAGGGCCCACCGTTCCCGCTTCGTCACGCCATAGCGCGCCTCGCCTAGTTGTGCCCTCGAGCGCCCTAGCGCGCCTCTCTCTCTTACTATCACGCGCCCTCGCGCGCCTCTTGCGACCGGCCCCGCCTAGCCCGCACGCCCTAGCGTGCCCCGTGCGATCGGCCCCGCTCACCTCGTGCGCCCTAGCGTGCGACCCGCGCGTCACCCATACGCGTCCCCTGCCCCGCGCGCCCTTACGTGCCCCGTGCGGCCCCGCGCGCTCACTGCCCCGCACGCCCTTGCGTGCCCCTCGCGTTCCGGCCCCGCCCTCGCTAGCCACGCGCCGCCCGCTAGCTGCCCGTCGAAGGGCCCTCCTGGCCGCGAGTAGCCCGCTAGCGACCGGCAGCCCCGCCCGTAGGCCGCGCCGTCGCCCTCTAGGCCGCCCGCGCGCTAGTCAGGCCCACGCAAGGCCGCGGCCCGCCCGCTACAGCCGCCCGTGTGCACGCCCCCCCCGTCGCGCACAGCCCCGTAGCCCAGCCCGAGCCGAACCGCGCCGCCCGAACCGAGCCGCGCCGCCCGACCCGAGCCGAGCCGCCCGAACCGAGCCGCGCCGCCCGAACCGAGCCGCGCCGCCCTACTGTTCCTGCCATACTACTGCTTCAGCTGCCACTGCTACTACTACTACTACTGCTACTGCTACTGCTACTGCAGTTACTACTCCTACTGCCACTGAAACTATGGCTAGTCCTGCTGTGCTAGCCTTCGATGCTGAGGGCCGCCCACTGAAGTTTGAGATCTGGCTCGATGACTTGCACCTATTCCTCCAGCTCACTGCCAAGGAGGATATCTCACTGTACGATCACGCGCTAGGCCATGCTGCTGCCCCTGCTGCTACTGCTGACAGTACTGCCCGCTCACAGTGGCAGACTCGTGACGCCCACGCTCGCTTCGCCATTCGCAACTCCCTGCCGGTAGATGAGCGCGAGCACTTTGGCCAGCACAAGACTGCGCAGGCCCTGTACACTGCTGTAGTTGCACGCTACTCCTCGCCTGCCTCTGCTGCGCTAGGCCGTCTCTCGCTTCCCTACCTGTTCCCAGACCTGTCCGCTTTCTCCACAGTCGCTGACCTCATCACGCACCTCCGCACTAGTGAGGCTCGCTTCCGTGCCGCTATGCCTGCTGAGTTTCTTGCCACGCACCCCCCCCCGCTCTGGCTCACTCTCTACCACCTAGTCACCCGCCTCCCTGACTCTCTTCGTGTGGTCAGGGACCACTTCCTCGCTCGCTACCCCACTGAGCTCACCGTTGACCTGCTCGAGAAGGAACTGCTTGCAAAAGACTAGCACAGTCGCTGTAGCTGCCTCTCGTGGCGACCCCCGCACCCCTTTCTTCGAGGGGTGTTCCCCTTCCCCCCTTCTCCCCTCTGTCGCCTCTGCTGCTGCTGTCGACCTCGTTGGTACTGAGCAGGTCGGGACTGCGTCCGCTCCGAGCTGGCGCCGCAGCGGCAAGGGCAAAGGGGGCAAGGGAGGTGGAGGCGACAGCGGGGGAGGCGGTGGTGGGGGCGGTGGAGGCGGTGGGGGTGGTGGCGGGGCTGGAGGGGCTAGTGGCAGTGGTGGGGGTGGTGGCGGCAGCGGCGGAGGAGGTGGCCGGGGTGGGGGCGGTGGTGGGGGCGGCGGTGGACGTGGCGGCGGCAGGGGCGGTGGTGGTCGAGGTGGTGGCGGCGGCGGTGGTGGTCGTGGAGGCACTGGCGGTGGCCAGAGCCAGCAGCGCACTCAGTCGTCCCAGGAGCTTCGTGAGTGGTACTCTCAGCACGGGGGGGGGGGGTGGCCTTAGCTGCACGTACGTCATCCGCACTGGTGACCGCACTGGCCAGACGTGCGGGAGGGCGCACACCACGCAGCGCTGCTTCTCCCGCCTTGACGACGCTTGGCGCACTCAGTTCCCTACTGCCACTGAGCTGCCCCGCTGGGCTGAGCTGATGAGGCAGAACATTGATATCTATGCTCTTGACTTTGATGCTATTCTTGGTGCCATGTATGTGTTGTCTACTAGTGGAGAGGGTGCTTAGTACCTGCGTGTTCCGCCCGACCCGGGCATTCGGACCAGTGAGGCTGCCGCTCTAGGTGCTAGTGTGTCTGCTGCCCTAGGTACTGGTGAGGCTGCCGCTCCAGGTACTCGCGTGTCTGCTGCCCCAGGTGCTGGTGAGGCTGCTGCTCTAGGTGCTACTGAGTCTGCGCCCCCTGGTACTGAGTCTACTGAGGCACTGCACACCTTCACACCAAACTCCGGTGCTTCTCGCTGTTTCTTTCGTGACCGCACTGCCCTTGAGCAGCTTGCTCGGCCAGTTGCTGTCTCCCTTGCTGACCCCTCTGGGGGTCCGGTCATTGCGACCTCCTCCACTGTCCTTCCTTGTCCTGCGGTTCCGTCGGGCACACTGTCAGGTCTCCACCTCCCCTCGTTCTCTACGAACTTGGTGGCGGGTTGTGCGCTCCAGGACGGGGGTGTCCACCAGTTCACCCCTGCCTACGAGCGCGTGACACACTGCACGTGTGCTCGGACGGGCCGTCACCTGGCTACCTTCACTCGGCAGCCGGGGTCGGACCTGTACACACTGACCACTGAGTCCCCTCAGGTAGCTGCGTCTGCGTCTGCGTCAGGTCAGCTGTCGGCCCCCTGCTCGTGTCGCTCTCTAGCGCACGAGACCGTTCTCTGGCACCACCGCCTTGGTCACCCGTCTGTGCAGCGCCTTCGTGGCATGCACAAGCGGTACCTTGTCTCTGGTCTTCCCAGGGTTCTCCCTCCCCTCCCACCCTCGCCTGCTCCTCCCTGTCTTCCCTGTGTCGAGGGGCGGCAGCGCGCCGCTCCTCACTCCTCCTCGTTTCCCCCGACGACTGCTCCCCTACAGACGCTCCACATGGACGTGTGGGGCCCAGCCCGCGTCCGTGGACAGGGTCAGGAGAGGTACTTCCTGATCGTTGTTGACGACTACTCGCGCTACACCACGGTCTTCCCCTTGCGCACCAAGGGTGAGGTCCCTGATGTTTTGATCCCTTGGATCAGCGCTTCTCGTCTCCAGCTCAGCGAGCGGTTCCACTCGGACTTTCTGTCCTGCGTCTGCACTCTGACAGAGGTGGTGAGTTCTCCTCCGACCTCTTGACAGCCTACTGTGCGGAGCACGGCATCCGCCAGTCGTTCACGCTTCCGGCCTCTCCACAGCAGAATGGGGTTGCTGAGCGCCGCATTGGCTTGGTCATGAAGGTCGCTCGTACCTCCTTGATCCATGCGGGTGCCCCCCACTTTCTGTGGCCGTTTGCGGTCCGATACGCTGCGCATCAGCTCAACCTCTGGCCCCGTGTCTCCGTTCCGGAGACTTCGCCGACACTGCGTTGGACGGGCCGCGTTTTCGGGTCTGGGGATCTCGAGCTTTTGTTCGCGATACGTCCGCGGACAAGCTCTCCTCCCGCGCTGTTCCTTGCGTCTTCCTTGGCTTTGTCCCCGACGCGTCTGGTTGGCAGTTTTACCACGCCACCTCGCGCCGTGTCCTGCCCTCTCAGGACGTCACTTTTGACGAGTCGGTGCCCTACTACCGTCTCTTCCCCTACCGCACTGCCCCGCTCCCCCCTCCGCCTCTCTTCCTCGCGCCAGGTGCTGCTGTGGTAGACCCCCTCCCCCCTCAGGGTGCCGCTCCCTCAGGTGTGTCCCAGGTAGACCCGGTTGAGCCTGTCGAGGTAGCTGTCGACTCTCGTCCTGCTAGGGGTGCTGAGCCTGAGCGTGCGGAGCCTGGGGTTGCGGAGTCTGGGGGTGCTGAGCCTGAGTGTGCGGAGCCTGGGGTTGCGGAGTCTGGGGGTGCTGAGCCTGGGGGTGCGGAGCCTGCGGGTGCTGAGTCTGGGGGTGCTGAGCCTGGCCGTGCTACGACTGAGGGTACTGAGCCAGAGGGTGCTACACCTGGAGGCGCTCCCTCCCCACAGCAGCTGCGTGAGTGGTACTTACAGTACTGCAGCCTCAGGAGGGGTACTTCTGGGGCTGGTGCTCGTGCCCCCCCTCCTAGGCGGGAGCCGCCCTCTCCTCAGCGGCTCCGAGAGTGGTACGCTCGGCTCTGTAGTCTCCGGAGTGGTGCTACTCGTGTCGTGGACCCTGGTACTGGTGCTTCTTGTGCTGGTGCTGCTGGAGCTGCTGGAGGTGCTGCTGGTGCTGGTGCTGCTGGAGCTGCTGGAGGTGCTGCTGGTGCCGGTGCTGCTGGTACTGCTGGTGCTGGTGCTGCTGGAGCTGCTGGAGGTGCTGCTGCTGCTGACGGTGCTGCTGCAGCTACTGGAGGTGCTGCTGGTGCTGGTGCTGCTGGAGCTGCTGGAGGTGCTGCTGCTACTAGCGGTGCTGCTGGCGCTGTTGGAGGTACTGCTGCTGCTGGTGCTGCTGGAGCTGCTGGAGGTGCTGCTGGTGCTGGTGCTTCTGCAGCTGCTGGAGGTTCTGCTGGTACTGGTTCTGCTGGAGCTGCTGGAGGTGCTGCTGCTGCTGGCGGTGCTGCTGGCGCTACTGGAGGTGCTGCTGGTGGTGCAGCTGGGACTGGAGCTGCTGAGGGGGTTGGAGCTGGAGGTGCTGAGCGGCTGCGGCCGTACTACGTTCCGCTCCTTCAGCAGGTTCTTGGTCTCCCGCCCTCTCCTGGTCCTACTCCTCCTCTCCTACTGAGTCCACCGCCTGTCCAGTCGCAGTCACAGTT